GCATGTTCGGAATCCACATGAATTCCATCCTCAGACCTGAGGATGAATCCTGGTGGATTCCGAAACTTTTGTCTCACTTCAATAAATCTAGTTTTACATTGTGGGTTTTTCTACCATAGTATCAACACGGTAATGCTATCACCATTCAATAATAACAGTAATAATAAAGATAATGATAATAATAATAATGATGACAATAATGATATTGATCATAATAATGATAATGATAACGATAATGATAATGACGATGATGATGATAATAATGATAATAATAACCTCAATACTAACAGTAACAATAATAACAACAATAATAATAATTGTAATATCAATGATAACAATAATCCTGATAATACAGTGTTGATAATAATCATTATTATCAATTACTACCAATGTTACTATCACTACCACTACAATTACTACTATTATAATCATTATCGTTACAATCATTATCAATATTATCAGTATTACTATCATTATAATCATTATTAAAATGATCATTATTATTTTCATTACCATTATTATCATCATCATTATTATCATTAACATTATCACTATCATCATAATTATTATTGTTAATGTTATCATTATCAGCATCATCATTATTATGATATTATTACCATTGCATTTTCACTCTCATTATCAGCGTTATCATTATTAATACCATATTGTCATCCTCCTCATTATTATCACTACTGATACGATAGTTATCACCATCATCAATTTTATCATCAGCAGCACTGTCACTGTTATCATAATGATCAGTTTTATATCATTTTATCATTTTATACTTGTTATATGTGCAGTAAGAAATATCATAGTACTAGTTTTATTACCTTCATTATCACCATTGTTGTAACCATAACTGTGATTATAGTTACAACTATAATTATAACCATCGTTATTAAGATTGTTATTGTGAATGTTATCGAAATTAGCATCATTGCAATCATTGTCATTATCATTATTGTCATTGTCAATATCATTGATGCTAAGATGATAATGATGATGATGATGATGATATGATGAAGATGAAGATGATGATAATAATGACAATAATGATAATGATAACGATAGTGACAGTGATAATGACGATAATGATGCTAATGATTGTGATAATACTGCAACAAAAGCTACAAATACTTTAATTGTGCCAACAATAGCAGCATGATGAGGATGGCATATTGGCAAAATAATAAACATCTATTTTTCCTTTTTTCGTGGGTGACTAAGATAACAATTGAGTAATTTATATTCATGCAAGATCAAAAGTCTGGCGCTTTCGGTTGATCCCGTAGCTGCCTGTTTCCTTTGTTTCTTTGTGTGTAGAAATCTGGTGTTTTCCAGCTCGGCGGTACAAATATAGATTCCGTTCTTTTCCCTCTCTCTTTCTCTCTCTCCCTCTCTCTCTCTCTTTGTTTCGTCTATATTTATGTTTATGTATCGCAAAGTAAACCGCTTAGCTTTCTTTTTTAAGACGTGTAAGAAGCATGATAAATCCTTAGCGAGGTGCTTCCCAAGATTCTGACGAGGAAGTGCTGTTGTAGGTGTCATAACGGTACATGTATCTTTCTCAACTTTTTTTTTTTGCGACACCATGTTTGTACTTTACACTCGTTCTCCTTTCTGTGAGCTAAGGATTGACGAAAATTGAAGAAAATTCACCGATTGTAAATTTATCCTCAATATTTCATGACGACAAGAAACCCATTCAAATATCCCGCCAAACTGACGCAAGAGCGAGCCCCTCTCCTTTTCCTCGCGGCAGCCTCACCCCTACCCTCACCCTCCCCCCTGACCCCGCCCAAATTCCCCACTGACCCCGCCTTTCCCTCCCCATTCAGGGCGGGAGAGTCGAGGTGTGTCAACCCCAGCGGGAGGCAGCGATGGGTTTTTTCGCCCTCGCCTAGAAGGACACACCTGGGCTGCCACGTACAGACACGCAGTCACGTACGGATATGAGAAACTTTCACAAAGTGTATTCTTGCAGACTTGCGAAAGCAGCGGAAAGCAATCAAAACTTCGTAGCTAAATAAGAAAAGAAAGAAGAGGAAAACTTGTTTTTTCTACGTTTAAGCATACACACATATATGGCATTTTTGTAAACATGATTCGTTATTTCGTAACGTTTGTGAGCGTGTGTAAATGTGTAAAATGTGTGAATGTGTGTGAATGAATGTGTGTGTGTGTGTGTGTGTGTGTGTGTGTGTGTGTGTGTGTGTGTGTGTGTGTGTGTGTGTGTGTGTGTGTGTGTGCGTGCGTGTGTGTGCGTGTGTGTGCGTGTGTGTGCGTGTGTGTGCGTGTGTGTGTGTGTGTGTGCGTGTGTGTGTGCGTGTGTGTGCGTGTGTGTGCGTGTGTGTGCGTGTGTGTGCGTGTGCGCTCGCGCGTGTTAAATACAGTATGATGCGTGCGTGTAGGTGTGGAGCAGAAAGTGGATAACTGCTCACGAATGCGTGTGGGTGTGCGCAAATCCCTTGAACTCAAAACTGTATGGCTGCGCCACAGTCGCCTCGGCTATTTATATGAAAGGAGGGTGTTGTCTCGAGCATTGCGTCATTATCACTTGCAGAAAAGTACTGTTTCTTACCAGTTTATACTGTGCTATTTCAATGCATTTCATTATCGTGCTTTGTAAGGTACGATGACGGTGTGTGTGTGTGTGTGTGTGTGTGTGTGTGTGTGTGTGTGTGTGTGTGTGTGTGTGTGTGTGTGTGTGTGTGTGTGTGTGTGTGTGTGTGTGTGTGTGTGTGTGATGGAGGGAGGGGGTGAGAGGGAGAGAGAGGGAGAGAGAGGGAGAGAGAGGGGGAGAGAGGGGGAGAGAGGGGGAGAGAGGGGGAGGGGAGAGAGGGGGAGAGAGAGGGAGAGAGAGAGAGAGAGAGAGAGAGAGAGAGAGAGAGAGAGAGAGAGAGAGAGAGAGAGAGAGAGAGAGAGAGAGAGAGAGAGAGAGAGAGAGGGGGGGGGAGACAGAGAGAAAGAGATAGATCGATAGAGAGAGTGAGATAGAGAAAGTGCATGAGACATGGCCCATGCTTAAGCGTCTCACATCCCACCTCTAAAAGGAGACCCTTCCCTCATCTGTACACTAAGGTCTCTGGCATTCATTGCCACTCAACTCTGCCAGCCTTCCCAGTGTCTGCTTCTCTCCCTATTTTCTACCGTACAGTCTCTGGTCTTTCGTCGTCCACATACATTTTTGATCCGTGCTAATTTTGTGAAGTATGTTACCTTACCTTGTATAGGCGTCCCTCTACCTTTTGCAACAATACCTTCTTATTACTCATCTTTCACTCACGCAATGCAAACAGGTATTCGGAAGTGTGTTCTGTTCATTTTAATGCAATTGTAGATCATTTATTTACTGTGATAAACACTCACACTCACTCTCACACACACACACACACACACACACACACACACACAATTTTTTTTTTTCTCAAATGATTTCCCTCCCTTCCCTTCACACGCTATCTTTCCCTCACCCTTTAAAGAAACAAACCACAGGTCACCCACCCTTTACAGAAACCGTTCCCTATTTGCCCTAACGAAACACTCTGCCACTCACCCCTTTGAAAAACACTCATTTTTCAACATTTAATTTCCTTCCGACACGCGGTAAATATACCCTATGTTCCTCCATTCTTCAGCCCTTACATTCTTTATCACTCTTCACATTCCCCTTTCCACCGTCCTTTATCGGGCATGCCTCTCTCACCATTTCTGTACGCTCCCCTGGCCAGTTCTTTCACATTCTCTTCCCTTCAACTCGATCGATTAGGAGTTGACCTCACTGACTGAGCTTTCCTTTCTTTCCCTGGATGCATCGTCTTATTTCCAATTATTATTCCAGTGATATTATGACGATTTCATCAAGCGTTTAGTTTTCCATTTACGCGTCCGATTTGCTACATCATTGTCAACAATATCTTGTCTTTTTGGTCGTTTCTCATAACATTTCTAGTTAATGCTTTACTACTTTGTCAAAGTTTTGCAAAATAGAACTATTTCATTATAAAGTTGGATATACTACATTCCAGTGTGTAAGGCATTCAAGTTTAGGAATTTAATATACTTGCTGCAAGAAACGATTTCGTAAGACCTTTTCATTTCCCTTTGGTTGCTCCTCGAAGTCAACTTGGCCAGGATCATCCTACAGAAAGCAATCAGTGTCAAAGGTCGCCTGCCTGAGGTTGCAATCAAACGTATATATACCTCAAGCACATTCGATTTAAAACTTTGCCACTCGCTAAAAAATAAAGAAAGTAGGTTGTCAGAGAAGTTGTAAGGAAGAGGTAACACGCAGAAATCGAAAAGTTTAATAAAGGGTGAAACGTTCTAGCTGTACTTCATTTCCTTTCGTGTCTACACCAAACCAAATAGCGCATCGTGTTTTTGCTCGTTTTGCTTTCGTTTACAAATATTAAGTGGGGTGAGGTCACGTGATGCTTAACCTCCTTCAGTCTTATTTTTTTCTGCTAAATACCTTTACCACGACAGTCAATTCATCAATTGTGGCTCCGTACAATACGTTTAAAATCCATTGAATATGTATTAAGACCAGACGCTTAACTAAACGTATAAGTGTCAGAAGCACGCGCGCTCTCACTCTGAAGGTAATGCAACAAGCACCCTAACAAGAGCACTTGAAGAGATTTAGCTATTACTTTCGCCACTGTGCTATCCCTCGTAATACTGACTCACCAGTTTGTTATTTTTCACAACATTCATTAGTCCCCAAACATCCTGCCATGCGTTCCAATGGTGTCTACTCATACTCCTCCCTCTGATATTGCAACTACCAACTCTGCATTGCTGTCGAGACTTCAAACACTTCATATAGCACACGGTATTCCACCAAGTATAGTTAAAGTATAAACAAGGAATTCAAATCTTCGATAAAAGTGATATTTTCCAGGACTGCCTTGGGTTAAAACAGTATTAAATACTGAGTCACTTTGTTCAGCCGCATTATTTCCAATCCACCCAAAGAGGTAACATAAAACGTCTTCACTTCTACAACTTTTATTAACACCACCGTTTAAGAGCTACCAATCATTGGTACTCAAACATCAATACACAGTATTGACAGTCATCTTTCAAAAGTCATGACATGAGAGACAGGAGTGGAATGGTGCCGATCAAGTGTAAATAAAAGAGGCCTGTCAAAGAGGTTTGGCCTGCAGCAGTCCAGCCACAAATATTTTGACCCTGTTTGTACCCTAAAGCTTTCCATCTGTAACCTGGGACATTTGTACATCACTCTGGTAAATATACAGTTTCCTTACCGATCTTATCCTCTATATTTTCTTATACAAGATCCTGGGTCACAAAAGCAGAGTACACTGTATTACAACCACTCAGCTGTTTTGACTTTGCAGCATAGCTCTTTCTACTCTCTAAAATTATCATCAACAATAAATCAATCCATCCATTTAGACTTTTCCTAGGAAATCATAAACTTTTTTCTGCCAAAGCATGCTATCCACAACTAGTCAACTGGCTTGGGACATTTATTGTGCGCTGATCCTTCAGAGTGATTGCTTTACACTTTGGTCAAACCTTTACGAAACCCGAGATACTGCTCCCGGAAGTGCTTTTAGATTTACTGCAAACACAGATGGTTCTGCCTAGGTCATTATTCTCATTCTCATACTAATGAATTCTAAAGTGGAAAAAAGTAACACAATCACAGAAATCTTTGAGAAATATAATATAGGATGAAAAATAAAGTTATTACATTAATACTATGAAGAACATAGATATTACTTACTTTTGTTCCTTCTCTATTAAAAAATTAATAAAGGCTTTCTAAAAAAAAAAGGAAAATAAGAAAAACTCTGCACCCGCGACCCGTGTAAAGACAAGTACAACATAATAATTTACAAAACAACATACAAATAACTTACACGATACTTGGTAAATGTAACCTCAACATCTGTCAAGCAAGACATACTATACAATGCAACAGCTTGACCATCCCTGGACAGTGAGTTCGCTTTTCCTCTGGCGAACCTCTGAGAATTGACCTGGATCACCAGATAAGCTCTTGTTACAATGTAAGGTCGAGTCAGCTGTGACTTGGTTGATACATGGTGCGGGAGGGGCAGCATCATTCGGTCGGTGGGGCACTTGATGAGCTACACTTGTGGGTGGATTTACTTGTGGGAATACAGTTGGAATTACGTAGTGTTCATCGTCAAGTGTGGTTTTCTGGATTACGGGATGGGTTGGTTGAGGGAGAGTGGATCGCGGGTGGTCTACATGCTATTTGTGGTCGAAGCGAGTGTCCGGGATGGTGATTGTGTGTGTCTCATTACCTAATATTAATCGAAGTCGCTTCATTGTTGGCCTAGGAGATGCTGTTCCATCTACATCTGTACTCTCTCCCTCCGAAGAGTCAGACCGATGCCGGTGTTCCCGGTGTTTCTTTCGGTGACGTCTGTGGTGGTGGTGGTGGTGATCAGTCTGATAGTCCTGATTTGTGATGCCCTCAACCGTCAACACCTCGTACTCTGGCTCATATGCTACTCCTGAGTCAGAGAGGTGCGAGCCAACCTCTATCACTTCGTCTAAGACAGGAGATCGCTTCATTCGCAATCTTAGCTTCACCCCACACCTTCCACCTTTCTCTGGGGTGACCATTGCAGCAGGTGGAGATGATGGGGTATATCCAATCAGGGGATGAGGCGGTGACTCGCACTGTGGAGACGACCTACATTCACTGGTTATGCTCCTGCCCCACCGACCGCAACCTACACCTAATTTTCCAACTCTAAGTGATCCAGGAGAAGTTGAATCATCTTCTTCCTCAAACTCATAAACATCTTTAGCTGGAGAGAGGTTAGTTGTTTCTGTTGCTCCTGAACCACCAGACTGACAAACGGTTGTGCTACCCATGTCTTTTAAAGCTGTCTGTTTGCACTTTGAATGCCTGGCCTTTTTGCTAAGAGGCTCTAAGGTTTCTACCTTGCTTTGAACACTACTAGACTGCTGAGGTAACTGAGAAGTTGGCAGTGATTGTTCTGACGTTTTGTCAGTGTTGTTGTTAAGAATGTTACTAGAACAGTTATTACCTAAACTAATGTAACCTAAACTAGAATTATCACATTTTTCACCAGGAGGTCTGCGTAGTCTGCGCAGAGGGGGTCTCCCACTTACAGACATACATTGTGAGTTAGCATTTGCCACACTCCGGTTTGACTTGGAGGTATCGGACAAAATCTCAGCCTGCATGCTGTCAGTTAACTTCACCCGACTGAGATCAACATAACAGTTTGAGCTGGGTGCAGTATCCCTAGAATTCACTTCCCGGGATTTACCTTCCCTTGAGTTCACATCCCCACAATTAACTTCCCTAGAAGCTACCTCTCTGGTAGTTTCTTCAGGTAGTGTTCTCACTGGTATGTCCTTTCCTGACACTCTCGTAGACTCATCTTCTCTTGGCATATGTACATCTTTTCCTGGCTCTTGATCACTATCTCCTCCTTCTTCTATTTCATCAAAACC